TGTGGAGTGCAAAGCTCCATACCCTGAAACCATTCCTTTGTAAATTAATTAGGATGTGGGATCACCCTGGTCATAAGGAGATGTTTTGGTAGCAATTTGGGTTAAATGGGCAGTTGGGCATGTGACAAGATTATACCTTTGAATAAACCACAAGGAAAATATCACAGAATCATGGAATGGTTTGGGTGGGAAGGACCTTAAAGGTCATCCAAATCCACCCCCTGCCATGGGCAGGGACACCTGCCACTAGCCCAGGTTGCTTCAAGTCCCATCCAACTTGGCTTGGAACACTCCCAGGGATGGAGCAGCCACAGCTCCACTGGCAATTTCATTCCAGTTCTTCATCATTCTCATACTGAGGCATTTCTTCCCAATATCCCACCTAAATCCTCCTCTCTTAGTTGGAACCATTCCCTGTGTCCTGTCCCTCCAGGCCCTTGTCCCAAGTCCCTCTGCAGCTCTCCTGGATCCCCTTGAGGCAGTGGAAGGGGCTTTGAGGTCTCCCTGGAGCTTCTCTTCTCCAGGCTGGACACCCCCCAGCTCTCCCAGCCTTTCCTCAAAGAATAAATTCCATCTAAAGCAATACAATTCCTCTGCATATAAAGAAACCTGCCAAGATCCCTCACAGCATTCCAGAACCTCTTGGAGCAGCACAGGGATGAGGACAGGGGCACAGCACCTCCAGCTGCTCTGCCTGGTGCCTCCTCCCAGCGTAGGCGTTGAGGTGGTCGGAGAGGAGGGACAGGAAGCGCCGGATATCCGTCTGCAAGTACTTCTTGGAGATCTGTTCCAGAGGGATGAAGACGGGGATGGAATGCCTCAGGATCTGCACCTGAGGGTTGGTGCACAGCTCCAGGTGGTAGGAATCCAGGTAGGTTCCCTCGTAAGCTGTGCTGAGGGAGAAACAAACTCCTCGCCTGGTCGGCTTCCCGCTGATCCCTGGGATCCAGGAGAGAACACGGAATACTCAGGGCACTGGTAGGGTTAAAGGCTCACAAGAGTTTGGAAGGAACTACCTAATTCCCAGGGTAACTGCCTAATTCCTCAGTTAACTGCTTAATTCCCAATGTAAATGCCTAATTCCCAAGCTGAATGCCTCATTCCCCAGTGAACTGCTTAATTCCCAAGGTAAATGCCTCATTCCCAAGTGAACTGTCTAATTCCCAAATTAACTGCCTGATTCCAAAGTTCCCCGACCTGTTCCCAGGATAACTCCTCAATTCCCAAGTTACCTGCCTAATCCCCAAGTTAACTGCCCAATTCCCAAGGGTTTAATTCCCAGAGCAGTTTTCCAGGACCCAGAATTCATCCAAACAACACAGCTCAGTCCATAATTCCCTCTCTGTGAAAAGGAGGGAATTACAGCTTTGCCAGACTCTAAAGGTTTCAGTTAACAGGGAATTCACACTTCCCATCAGGATCCTTTCCCATAATTCATCCCCACGGCCAGAATCCACCCCTGGAGCTGTTACCTGTGAGGTAGAACAGCTGCAGCAGTGCCTGGAGGTTCCTGATCCTCCACTCCACAACATCCCTGGGAGCAATGGGATGGGCTGGATCCGGCACCACTCCTTCTTTCCCAGGTTGCTACAAAAGCCAGGAGCAGAGAGGTCACAAATGTGGCAGCTGCAGGGACACAGGGTACAAGGAAATCCTGGCTCTCGGATGGAGAAAAGGGAAGAAAACTTAAGAGAAGATTTTGGGAATGGCCACGCCTTCCACCAGGTTGCTACAAGTCCCATCCAACCCGGCCTGGAACACTTCCAGGGATGGAACAGCCACAGTTTCCCTGGAAAACTTCTGCCAGTTCCTCCCAGAATCCCTTTCTCACCTGCTTTTCCTGCAGATCCACTTTCTCCCGCAGCTTATCCCTCTGGAGCCTCAGCTTCCGCACTCTGGCTTTCAGCATTGCCAACTTCTCTTTCTGCTGTTCCCTCTTCTCCTGCTCCACAGCTTCCTGGTGAGCTTGTGTTTCCAGCATTTCCAGGTAAGCAAGCACTCCTGAAAGGAAAAGCAGGACACATCCAACAATCCGGGTGGAAATATCAGGTGTCCGAAACAAGACAGGGAAAAGTCCATACAAACCCACTTGGAATCACTTCTCCAAGGGGCAAAGGACAGGGAAACATCTGCATAAAAGGGTTTAGGGAATCACTTTGCACCTGGATGTCCTGGATCCCAAAAACTCACCATATGGTTTATCCCCTTTCCCTTCCTCCTGCTTCCTCCAGCTGGGAGGTGCCAGCCCTTCCTTGCCAGGCTCCATCCCTTGGGAATCAGCAGCTCCTCCTCAAGGGACCTTCCTAGTCCTTCTGCTGCTCCAATGGGACTCCGAGAAGCACAGGGACAATCCCAGCGATCCAGGACTGAAAAAGAGACATTTACATCCCAGTTATTTTCCAGAAGTCGTTGTTTCATGGAAGCACCACATGGAAAACCTCTGGGAATGTGGCAATGGGAAGGATTCGTGGGGAGGCACCAGCAGGATGAGCCTGGGGAGCTGGCACAGCCCTGGGGGTGACTGGGAAGGTCACAAGGAGAAGACAGGAGGGTCCCAAGGGACTGACATGAGGTGACAGGGAGGGGGTGACAGGGATGATCCCAAGGGGGGACTGGGAGGGTCCCAAGGGGGGTGACAAGGAGACTCCTAAGGGTAGACAGGGAGGCTGTGAGGAGTGACAGGGAGGCTGTGAGGAGTGACAGTGAGAACCCCAAGGGGGTGATAGGAATGGTCCAGGGGTCGACAATGGAGAGTTTGGGGGGTGACTGGGTGGGTCCCAAGGAGGTGACAAGAAGGGTCCCAGGGGAGTGACAAAGAGGATCCTAAGGCTAGACAAGGAGGGTCTGGGGGTGACAGGGAGGATCCTGG